TCAGCAACATGWATTCACACTTGCCAAGGCTAATCTGACCATAGCCATTGAGAAATGTCCAGTTCAAAAAAAAAAAAAAGTGAGATCAACACTGAGCCCCTGAAATAGCACAACCCTTTGGAAGAATCAGGCCCTATCTGAGAGTGAATTAGTTTCAATGKACTCTCTTCCTATCATAAAAGGGCAGCGGTTTGTTCTCAGTGCATAGAAAATTAATCTTCATGGTATCTTTCCCACCTGTCACACTTTTGCCAAAAAAAGTGCAACTGTGAATTTATAGAATCTTATTTRCCATCATATTCTTCCATATGCTTTACTTCTGACCAAGGACTTTATTTTGCAGTAAATAAAGCGTTGGAATAGGCTCATTTGTACTCATAGAATTCATTAGTTTTACTGTGTTATCCATCATTGGAAGGTGGAATGGTTCTTTTGACAATTTTGTTAGTGTGCTAGACAGAAGGAAACTCTTTATCAGGCTCAGGTAATGTCCTGAAAGATGCAGTGGATTCTCTAAACCAGCAACCAATATATCTTAGTGTCTCTTCATTATTCCTGGGTCCAGGAATCAGAGGGTGGAAATGAGTTTCTCTCACTATTGCCACTAGTGATTCACTTGCAAAATCTGTTCTCTCCACCCTCAGTGTTATGCTCTGCTGGTCTAGAAGTCTTAGTTGCCAAGGGAAAGATGCTTCTATGGGGAAATGTAACGGTGATGACATTAAGCTGGAAGTTGGTACTGCTTGCTGGCCACTTTGGGCTCCTCATGATAAGAAATCAACAAATAAAGCAGAGTTTTGCTCTACTGATAGGAATGACTGTGGCTTTCAAAAGGAAGGAGGGGGCTGGGGATAGAGTACTTCCCTAGTATGTGCAAAGCCCTGGGTTCAATTCCCAGTACAGAGGTAGAGTGGAGGAGACCAGAAAGGAAATTGAACGACTAGCAAACTGTAACCTAGTAAGAGCTATGTCTGGAACTCAAGGATATCTCTTTTACTCTTGCTTACTGTAACAAGGTATATGGAAAATGACCCAATACAAGTCCAGTTGCCAAGGCCTGGATCCTTCAAAAATGAAGATTTAAGTCACCGTGACCAAGTGATATGTTTGCTGAGGACAAAGCATATATGGAATGGGTAGCAACAAGGGAAGTTATAAATACCATTTACAGCCACAAGATCAGTTATGGAAATTAGAATGGTAGCACTTATATTTATTATTTTGATATAAAATGTATTTACCAATTATTTTTCTTCCCCTGTTGTCCATCTAATATAAAATGTGATAAATGTAATTTTTTTATCAGTTCCCTAGGGCTGCTGTTATAAAGTACCACAAACTGTATGGCTTATAAGAGAAATTTATCCTCATATAGTCTGGAGGTTATAAGTACAAAATCAATGTGTTAGCTGGTCAGTTCACTTCAAGAGGCTTTAAAGGAGAATCTGTTCTACCTCTCTCCTGGCTTCTGGTGGTTACTGGTAATCATTTGTGTTCCTTGGTTTGGAGACAAGATCACTCCAATCTCTGCCTCCATTGTCATGTGACATTTTGGGGATATGTGTGTGTGGGTCCAAATTTCTCTCTTCTAGTCAGTGAAATAGTCAWTGAATTAAGCTCATCTTAACTCAGTATAACCTTTTAAGAACTTGAGTACATCTACCAAGACCCCATTTTCAAATAAGATCATATYTATAAGGCCTCAGGTTACAGCCTATCTTTTGGCAGACAAAATTCAAACATCTTTATATCTCTGGACTTCAAATGGAGAGTGGATCTCAGCTAGTTGAGGATTTAATGCCACCTCCAAATGAATAAAGTTATAAAATGGGCTCTGTGTCCTGTGTTGGGGAGATGCCTCTTATTGGGTGTCATCAGCATTTTACTCACGTCTTTGTTTGGATGTTATATTTGGTTAAAAGAAGTATAGTTGGCAAGGGATGAACTATGGTGGTTTTATATAGTATCACCTCAGCTAAATCAAAACTATATTTCAGAACTCCATTTCCTGTTTCACACTGGATTAGCCCTAAGGGAAATTTGCATGAGGCTGGAAAAGCAGAATTGAAGCAGCAGCCATTATATTTTGAAGGGGGCCCCAGGAATTATTTTAACTAGCGCACATTTTCACTGGTCCCTTTAGGGATTATGTATCAAAATTATGTATTTTGATACAAAATTATGTATCAAAAGCTTACTCCTTAAATATGCTCCAACATCAAGAAAATAGCCTGTTAATGAATTGTAAAGAGTAGAAAATGCTGTAACAGATTTTAACTGATTAAYACTTTACATTAAATAATCTCAAGTAGCTCACTTTAGGTCAGAAGCTGTGATTGCAGCTCCTAAAGTTGATTATTCTAGGTATGTGTTCAGTTCCATGGCAAAGGACACTAGATCCTTCAAATAACTCCCATTAAGGTTGGTTAAGGGCTGATGTGGGTTCTAGTTTGTCTTCCTAATTCCTTCTTTGCTACTTCATGTCCAACTTGTCTCCCCGGTGACCTTACTGACTCAGAGATTTCAGGCCATCATAGAGGCAATCCTTTCCCTCTTCCCTAGATTTTTACTAGATTCTACCATTGCCTGACGTCTGCTCCCTAGAATACACTCCTTCCACATCTTCTAATGTTTTTGCTTCCGATCAGATCCTGATATACACATCTTGCACGAAACATTGACAAAGGTGGTCCCAGAGGAAGAAATCAGAAGCTGTGGACAGCACTGCATTCATATCCTACCAACTCAAAAGGCTGAAAGTCATCCATAGACAGCTGTCATTTTAGACACTATTTCTTTCTAAATACTTTATTATTGCTAATCTTCTGGGCACCAGTGCTTGCTTTTCCATGGTTTCTTTCCTACAATCCACATACACAATTGTCTCTRATCAGAGCTTCAAATCAAACACCTGAAATTGAATGCTACATGTTTGGGAAGAAAATCCCACAAATATGTGCAAAAGTGGCATGTTTGTAGGTGCCTGTCCAAAAAGAAGGCAAAGGTCAATATTGCCAGATGTTTTACCTTCCACAAGGGAGGATCTATCTAGTTAGAGCAATTTAGTAGCATTCCTAGTTCATTTTTGGAATGTAATTCAAGTTCTAGTTCCTTACCAACACAGCTTTTTCTTTTACACTAGTATTCTCCTTCTTATATTTCATTGCTCTTTCAGTGGTTCATCTCTCCCTATTTACTGCCAACATATGAGTGCTGGGTTTTATGTCTTCCTTTCATATCTCTTTCTCCTTGTCCTTTGTTGTCATCTTCCCCGAGTTACCTCCCACACTGCCCAACTTGGTCCAAAAGTAGCTGGTGTAAGTACCACAAAATGTGAACTCTCTATCCTGGTTAATATTCACTAATTGGAGAAGTGCCAACTATTGAAATATGTGTATAGAAAGGTGGTGGAGCTCCTGGTCTGTCCAAGTTAAGTGAACGATGCCTATACTAAATGCTTTCAATTATTCTATTAAATCGTTAAATTCATTTGGCATAAAATGATGCCTGCATTGGTCAGTGACCCTGCTTTCTCACAAAGACACGATTATTTCCTAGCTTAGTACTCAAGTTCCCAGGCAACTAGTGAGGCCTAGAAACCTGGGAAGTCTGATTTCTAGAGCAATGGCTTGGTTAATCCATATTGTTTTCATGAAGTGGTTAAATTCCTCTTGAAAAAAATAGAGGCTAAGTGACCCAAAGCAGATTAGTAGAAAAGACCTGAGTCCCTTTCAGAATTCTTGGTATGCTGGTTGGCAGGATTCCTGTCTGTCCGAGACAGGCCTTCTCTTGAAATCGTAAACTTCCAAAAACATAAATCATTTCCATGTAGCTCAAGAACAGAAACTGTATTCTTTTGGGTTTTTTTTTTTTTTTTGAAAGAAAGCACTTTACACACTATGAGAAATTTAACATTTGGATTTAAAAAAGGTCTGATAAATTGCTACAAATTTTAAATCATCAATTATGTATCAAAAGCTTACTCCTTAAATATGCTCCAACATCAAGAAAATAGCCTGCTAATGAATTGTAAAGAGTAGAAAATACTGTAACAGATTTTAACTGATTAACACTTTACATTAAATTAAAATAATCTCAAGTAGCTGTTAATTCCTGTTAAATTCAAGCTCTACTTTTAATAAAAGAAAAAACTCAAAACACTTTAAGCAGAAATATATTAAAAATAACCATAAAAAAATATTGTCATAACATTTGTAAGCAAATGTTCACAAAAATATTTATGTCAAATATAGTCACGTAGCATGAGACATGCCAGAATTCTTCAACTCTAACTCAGACCTGGAAAATTTCAGTTTGTTGCAAATCTTCCCTGTGGCTAAGTCTCTCTAGACCTATACTTCAGTGAAACAGGAAATGTTTGGATTGTCTTCTTCCCCTACCCCCACCTATCTGTGGATTGATAACCCTGTGATACATTAACTAAGTGCTGCTATAGGTAAGCTGTGCTTGCAAAACTGAGTCTGATTTGCTAAGACTAGGGGACAAAAAACCTGCTGCAAATGCACTATCTGGTGAATGCCACCAAAGAYGTCAATTGAATAAGTGACAATGAAGGCAATGAGGACTTTGGAGACAGAAATGGCAGGTTGTCACAAACAGTTATCGATTAGCCATTGGGAGATCACTAACGTCTAACCCATCAGGCAGTGATTTGGTTGTCAAGGCTYGAAGGCTGATGAGAATGCTCACATTCTTGAGGTCACCTTAACTAGGGCTTCCACAATGTAAGAGGAATTATACTTATGGATGAGGATGACAGGAGAGGATAATAGGGAATGGAGGGCATTCATAACTGGGCACATCAACCCTGGAGATCTTCAGCTTCCTCGAAGATTCTCTGCTTCACACCCTCATCTCCCTTCCCTATGTCAAAACATGTGCTTTTAATTATGTCATATGTACAAGCTTCCAGAGGTAACAGAGGCTTGATCCTGAGTTGAAGTAAAAAAGAGTGGGCAAAAACGACACATCTCAGAATGAGTTTCATTTATATAATGAAAATAAATTTTTACACAATCAACAGAAACACACAAAGTTTGTTTTTGCTTTTTTTTTGCGAAAAATATTTTTAAATAAATTTTTGTCATTTTTTTTTTTTTTACATTCTGATATACATATGTAACAAGGTTTATGGCACTATAACCAGAATCAAATCCAAAAAAAAAAAAAAAAAAAAAAAGGAAAAAGGTGGGAAGGAAAGTAATTGGTTTTGTTGAATTTCTTTCTACCTCCAAGCTGGCAATTTTGCACTATTTGTCTATCATTCACTTGCCAGCTCTAAACTTGTTTGCACACTCCAAACACCATATTATTGCACAAGAGCCAGTGAAGGCCTATGGTATAGTGGTCAGTCGTTCCTTGTTGTTGTTTCAAAAAGTTTCTTCAACCCAGAGAGGGGGGGGAAAGAAAAGTCCAGAGCATAAAACACTATTCTCTATTTCTTTAAAGAATACGTGAAGGGTTCTTAGACCACTCAAGCTGCCCTGATCTTCTCTTTGCACCAAGGAGCACAGCAGGGCTTGGTTGGGTGGGGTTTTTATTTCCTATATGGATGGCCCAGGTGGCTCCTAGGTCCTCATGATCCAATGTCTTTTCAACTTACTTTTGGTTCTTTTAAAATGGTGTATATGGGATCTTAGGTCTATGAACCTGCACAGACTATTTAGTCATAAACTCTACAAAAAGCTTAAAAGGAAAAGGGGGAGAAACAAGTTTTATTATATTTTTATTGTTGGCTTAAAAAAAATGACCTCTTTAACCTCCCTGCTTTGTCAGTTTGTGGGAAGTAAATCTCAATGGCATCAAAAGTTATAGTCTTCTCACACTTGTTAAAAATAAAGTCTTTAAACAAGTTTGTTTCCATTCACAAACTTTACCCCCAACTAAAAAAAAAAAGGAAAAAAAAAGGGGGGGGGGGAGACCCAGAACCCATCCTCCTTCCTTTTTTGCCCCCCAAAGGAGAGCAGCAATCCTTTCCACCCTGACCACCGTCACACGACCGTCTCCACACCCATCAGCTTTGGCGTAAGGATGCGTGGCGTCACACCATTGTTTAGGTCTTCCTCAAACTCCAGCAACTGCCCCATGAAGTTAAGATTTGGAGAAATAATTGGTCGTTTGCCTTTGACAAATTTGTAAGCATCAGTCATGGTCATCCGTGTGTGCTTCATCAGGTAGGCGATGACAATGGTGGCAGAGCGGGACACGCCGGCCTGGCAGTGGATGAGAAGCCCCTTCCCACACTGATGAGCTTCCTCTGAAAAGAGAGAAGAGATGAGATGAAGGAGAAAGAGATGGACAGAGACAGGTTAACCCGGACCTGAACTTGCCCAGGCTTCATTTGGTAGAGAAAGAATAAATTTAAATGGTTTTTAAAACTAAGTACAATATACTAGACAATTCTGCATGCTCAGGTCACACTTCCAGAACCAGCTAAAGTCAGTATTAGCATGAGAAAGAGGCTACATATTTACATTTAGAGAGGAGATGGAGTAGATGGAACAGTATCTCAGTATCTCACAGCAGGACAGAAGCTGAAGCTGTACTTCCAGCACAATGAATGGGCTTATGTATTAAGCAAGCTGCAAATCAAGTAGTACACCTCTGTCAAATATCTAGTTTCATTGATAGAGAAAAACACATTTCTTTGTGTGTGTGTGTGTGTGTGTGTGTGTGTGTGTGTGTGTGTGGGAGGTACTGGGGATTGAACCTAGAAGTACTTTCCCACAGAGCCACACACCCAGCCCTTTTTATTTTTTATTTTGAGACAGGGTCTAGCTAAGTTGCTTAAGGCCTCCCTAAGTTGCTGAGGCTGACTTTGAACTCAGATCCTCCTGCCTCAGCCTCCTGAGCTCCTGGGATTGTAGGCATGTGCTACCATGTCCAGCACATTTCTTTCTTTATACTACAGAATTGGGAAGTGAAAGGAGGGGATGGCAGGGGATGTGGGGATTAAGAGAGATAGTAGAATGAAACAGACATTATTACTGTATGAATGTATGTGACTGTATGACCATTGTGATTCTACAATATGTATACTCAGAAAAATGAGAAATTATATCCTATCTATGTATGAAAAAAAAAAGAATTGCTTAGTTTAGGAACAGATATTAAATGGATGAGAGATTTTAGCTTCTCACTAGGAAAGTCAATTACGGCCAAGTTTAAAGACTTATGGATTAAACCAGAGTGTCGCCCTCTCTTAAGTGTTCAAAATCCCCCTTGCATTCATGGAGGCTTGCACCAGTATGGCAAGGATCGGCAAGATGGAGAAATTCCCACATTGGCTCAGAATTTGAGTCCCCAGAACTTCAAAGCTCCTGTCTGAATAATGGGAACAAAACCAGGTATCCCACTCGGAGAATATGGGAATACTGTCATTTGATTCAGGAATATGCTGGCACAGTTAAGCTCTAAACCTAGACTCCACTTAGTTTGTGTTAAGCACCGAGTGGTTATGCTGTTAAACACCTTCTGTTTCCCGAAAGCCACACTATGAGATTTTAGCTTATTGGATAACAATGAAAATAAAATTGTGCCCTGCAGGTTATGACTCTGAATTGCTTTCAGGCTAAATGCTGTTTGTTACTGGTTTTGTTTTCCTTYTAAAGAGCATGTAAGCCTGAGTAATCTATAAGGAATGTGAGTACTTGGGTTGAAATCTTCCCAGGACAAGTGTATCTTATGCTATTCATTAAATGGGAAGCAGATACCCCAAGGCCCTCCACCTGGAATGAAGTCAGGTGGGACCAGTCATGACATCATATATCAACYAGGAAGTTCCCTGTCTACTAGGGGACAAATATTTCTTCTGCAGGACTCAAGGACTGGCTCAGATTTTATTAATAAAGAATCTGAAGCATCTTGACACTCATGTTGGCCGGCTGGGAATTAATAAATAGGGCTTTACAAATACCGTTCCGGTATTTTGTAGAAAGGCTCATGGCCTGGGAATCAAGAACCCTGGATCCCCATTGCTTCTCTGACATTAGACTTCGGAGAATCTTGGAGAAGTCACTGTACTTATCTGAGTACAGCAACCAGTCTGAATTTCCTTCCAAACTGAATACTTCATGGTCCTCCACTGAAGATACAATCAGCAAAGGAAAGAGTTGGGCAATGTAACCAAAGCTTGTCAGCTCTTCAGCAAATCCACCAGGCTCTTAAACCTGAGGCTTTTTTATTTTTTATTTTATTTTTTCTGACGATGGAACATCAAACATGATGGGAGAAAGGCCAATGACAGCTTGCTGAAATAATGAGGAAAAGTACTGGGCCAGCCCTTTACCAAGATAGCAGTTAGAGTCCCTTGGAAAAATTATTGAGTGTCKGCTATATGCTCGAGTTCTCCAAATGATCACTTGAGTCTTACTTCTGTAGCCTTGAACTCTGCTGTAACAAAATTTAATTAGGATTAGGCTGATGGTTGCTTCCTTTTAAAGATGAGAGCCTGCTATTGCTTGAATTATTCTCCTAGGGCTATCTAATCTGATCTTTCCTGCTTCAGTTGAGTTTGCAAACTGTCAAAGGAAATCTTGTATCATCTCACCAGCACTAACATCCACTCCATTTTGTTATCAAGTGCTTCAGAACCGAGACAAAGCAGAAAGGGRGAAAGAACTTGACCCCATCCCTTTCTCCCTCCTCTAGGATGAGGCAGTGCATAAGGAGGTTCACTTTGGCATGACCAGTCTGAAAAAGTTTCTTCAGATCAACCCTTCAGCAAATTCTACCTGTATCTCAGCCTCAGGTGAAGAGGTACCCACTGCAACTTAGTTTGATTCAAGGTAAGGAAATGCAGTCACCTCTCATGCTGGGTGAACAAGGCTGAGTAGGGTGCTAGGGAGAGATGGGCATTTGAAAGTGATATATTCACTTATTTCATGTCCTGCAGGACTCTGAGGGGACTTGGCAGATTGGGTAGCAGCAGTACCAGCTCTGATCCTCAATTCCTTACTTTCCCTCCATTCTTCTAGTATTAAAGCATGGTAAATGCTAACCACTACCATTTTTTTTTTCCATTGAGAATTTGAGGGATGGGCATTTCTAGTTGAACAGATGTCAACCAAATTATTTTTTTATGTCCATCCTGATGGCTCTGATATGTTAAGAATGAGGAGGACACTTTGGCTGCATTAGGTGACAGAACCCAAAACACCTCTGAGCAGCTGTTTTTGAGGAACATAGGAATAAACCTTGGACTCGATTTCAAAGCAGGAGCCAGAGGGAAAGGAAGGCAGAGGACAAGGACTCCCAATGGAGATACTTACCAATGAACTCAAAAGCCTCTTCAAAGTACTGCCGCAGGTTCTGCTTGTTGCTGTCGGTGGCCGGCAGCCGCTTGTAGTTGAAGAGACCTTTCTCRTAGTGGTAGAGGGGAAGGTGAGTGGTGACGTTGATGACATAGCCGATGTTCAGCCGCTGCATGGTGTCCAGGTCCTGAGCGTCCTGCTCATTGCCAAGGAACAGGAAGGGCAGGATGGGCGTCAGCTCTGCATTCTCGATGTCAGGGGTGGTGGGGACAGACTGAGGTAGCAAGCTCGAGGCCGCAGATGCACCGCCCCCCACCTCCCGGCACTCTTGGAGCTGGAGGGAGTTGTCACAGAGGTTTTCATGGTTCTGCTTAAAACTACTAAGTCCACCTGGAACACAAATACAGAAAGCAAGATTAAGATTTCAAAGCTGGCAGAAAATGCCAACCTCACAGTAAGAATCAGAGTACGTTGTTGCTTAGATGGATGTTTATGTATGTATGAACCCCAAACCCAAAATGCAAGAGTCCATTTGGGGAGCTTCCAGGACCAGCTTCAGAGCGTCTCTCTGCATGGAGGACTCTAGAAACATGCTCCTTATATACAAAGTGGGGCATGCTGTTCAGGAATGAGCCCCATGTAGCATCAGGCAATTTCATCAGCTGCAAATGTGACCTGCCTCAAAGAGCCATAAGCCGTATGCTCAGTGGCCTATATAGAACCTTGCACTTTGGGAGCAGAGGAAGGCATGGATGACGTCCTCTGGCTGAGAACTGCTGCCTGTAATCTGGCCCTGCACACATGCCACCTTGTACCTTCCTGCTCACCTTACCTGGAAGGCCACATCTGCTCCCAATACAGCAGAGGGCTTACAAGCAGGGACCATGGCTATAACCCCAAAGCCACCCTTCCTGGCTCTGTGACTTGGGCAAGCTCCTCCCTCTCTGTTCCTTTTCTGCTCAGATGAGGGTAATGATATCTGAGTGTGAATATGAGTCTAAGAATAAATACATTTAGCATATTGTCAGGCATATACGATTGCTCAGCAAATGTTAGTTATTTTTATAAATATTATTTATATGAATGTCCAAAGGTAGAAGCAGCTGAGAAATGATTGGAAAGGACAAAACAGGGTTGCAGGGACAGGGGAGATCATTCTTAAGGTCTCATTCTGATGTTTTTGCCTGCAGGTCCTGACATTTGTCAGCCTTGACTTCCAGTAGAAGGGAAGTGGAGTAGCTTGATCCCTTGAACCTGAGTTTTGAGGGTCCTAGGTATATAAACCCCTCAGGAAACCTCTAATGGATCTATGAATACACTTTAAACATAAACCTCTGCTCTGCCTCCAAGAATTATGAGTCTACCATAAAAAGTTTAAGCTGTACCTGTTTCCACAATTTTTAAACTATCCCAAGTATAGTTTCACTTATGGAAATTATCTTAGGAAAATCATTTAACAAAAGACCTTCAGCTAGATATGTGAAGACATCCACTATGGCATTCTCAGTCTAATGGAAAAAGGAAAGCAAACAACAAAATAAAAATTAAAAAGAAAGTAAATTTTATTTTATTCACTCCATAGACTATTATGCGTTCATTAAGAATAGTTATGAAAAGGTATGAATGAACAAAGAAACTGCTTAGCATTAAGTAAAAAAAGCTAATTCAACAATAATTCACCAAAAGCTGAAGGACTACAGAGAGAGAGAGAGAGAGAGAGAGAGAGAGAGAGAGAGAACACAATGTTTAATTTAAGTTAGAAAATATATAGATTATACATTATTGTTTTGATTTTCCTTTAATACATGTTATATTCAAAGGCACAGATGAATGAACCCTAAGGATTATTATGAGGTTTAAATTATATAATATACATGTTAGGGCTCTGAAATCTGAATTGACATTATTAGCACTGAATGAGCTCTAAAATTCTGATTAGACAAAAACTAGATATCCTCTTTCGTTCTCTTTGAAAAGAGGGGGAAATTGGAAAACTCCTATTAGCTAAAAACCACCAAAATACAACATTCATTCCCATAGATGCCTTGTGTCTGTCTTGATAGTCTTTGGATTCAGGCAGAAAACACAAGGACGAATAGGATATGGTTCTGTTGAAACAAGGACAGGAAGTCTATCTGTCCACTAGCTTCTGACCCTAACATGTGTTCTCCATTTCAAGTTTCACATGTGACAACCACAGGGGAAGTCCAGACTAGAGCCTAGACCAAGTATCATGTCTATGTACAAGCAATGGACCCTGAAACAGAGAAATCCCATTGTCATTAAGAGATGGTAACAATCCAAAAAAAATTCAAAGTCCATATAATGGTCATATAATGATCATCCAAAATGAGTCAAGTAAAAACTTTTGTTTTTCGAAAAGAAAAATGAAATATTAACTCATTCTTACCGATTTCCAGAATTAAACTTTGCCCATACTGTTATTTATTATGCTATGAAAAAAATGACAAAGTTTGAGCCCAAAGAGAATTTTTAAGCACAAAGAAAAAAAAAAAGAATACAAAAACTTCATCAGTGAATACTTTAAAAAATTAGAATAAAATAAAAACTAGCCATTGTTACCATGATAAGCTCAGAAGGCACTCTGTTATTTTAAAATCTACTCAGCTTTGCCTCCACAAAAATACAAGTAGACGGTTCCACACTGATTCTATGATGAAATGCCCAATTCATTCTTTTAAGAAAAAAATCAGTTGAGACATTTTTCTACATACGATGAGAAGAAAGACCCCTCCCCCCAAAAAAAGTCCTCAAACGAAGTGGGAAATCCTCTAAGCAGTGGGGGGAAAAAAAACTTCTYTCTGTTCTTATTTAGGGTACTCAAGCTGTAATTTGTGAGTTAAAAGATAAAATAAATTAAAAAGCATGCCAGAAAACGCCCCACACAGAAAAAAAAAAAACCAAAAACCCAGCATAGAGCTTTTTAAAATTCTGTCTCTACACCTCCTTTCCCAATGACATCAGCTGGAGGCTCCCCACCTGCCCAGTTGCCATAGCAGTTACACAAAGACATACAATGACATCAGTTGGCATGATATCAGCTCTTTGAGTGCAAACAATACAAGAAGAACTACTTTGTTTAAGGCCTTTGGTGCAACTGTGTTCTGGGGAGCCAATGATGTAATGCTAACAGGTGGCATGGGCCTTCCATTTGCCTAATGGGGGAAAAAAACCCATGGGAGAGGGGGATGGAGGGAATTTGAGACAGACACACACAGAAAGCTCCAAATTGCAGGGTGTGCTCATGTGCAAAATTATGTGTGTATTGTATGTATGTTTGAGCCATGTAAGAACTCTGTTCACGAATTATTTGAACGGGGAGTAGATAGCACAGGAGCTCTTTTAATTCAAACATATAAGCTAGAGACAAGGACATTCTCAGTGAGGGTCTAAAGAAACAGTCTCCTGTCCAATTTCCAGTCTGCTCATCAACTTAAGCATCGGTTCTCATCGAAGGGTAACACACATCTATACACAACTGTTAAAAATCTCTCTGGACGGTATTGAAAGCAAATGAACCAGTAGTAGCTTGCAGTGCCTTTTTTTTTTTTTAAGAGAGAAAACTGCAGGAAAAATATGTGGTGTTTTTTTCCCCCCTTTCGTGGTGGTTGGTGGGGTGAGTGGAATTGGCAGCTGTGGGGGAGGCGGGTGAATAGAACCAATTTCCACCCACCCTATCCCATCAAATACCACCTGAGGCCATCCTGCCTGATTGCTTAATGAAGAGCTTTAATTATGTTTGTTGTTACTATATGAGAATATTACAAAATAGTAATTAACCAACAATTGAGGTAGAAGCAGTGTGGTGTGGTTAACAGAGCAGAGGTTAGAGGCAGACAGACCCAGGCTATCATTGTAATTCTGCTGGGTAGGGAGTTGTGAGACCTACAAAGGTCTCAAATCATTTTCTCCTATTAAGCCTCAGTTTACTGATCAAGTGGATATCATATCATGTACCCTTAGGGTTGCGATAGAAGAGGTCTATGTAAAGATTTTGACACACAACCTGATGTTTGATAATTCACCTCTTATTACCCCAGTACCATCAACCCAGGTCTCCCCTGCAATTGATCCGTGCTCATGTGCAGTGATCAAGAGCAGGGGCACTGAGGCCAGGCTGCTGGGGTCCAACCCCTAGTCAAACACTAGCTGTGAGATGCTGGGCAGGCTTCTCACCTCTCTCTTCCTCAGTTTCCCCATATGTAAAACAGAAATGATAACAACAGTGCCTACCTCGTGGGAATTTGTAAGGATTAAACTGGTTAATAAATACAAAATATTAACAATGTCCAGCACACAGGAAGCACTTTTCTTTCAGTACTTTGGGAAACTGTAATCTTAACGATCTAAAAGATAAAATAATAAAGATCTAAAAAAAATGCTTCAGAATGATTGTAAATGACTGTAAATGCATCAAGTGTTAAAGTTTGAATAATATAATTTTATCATAAAAAGAAACAACAGCTCCCTGTCCTTCCTAATCACAAAGGATATATATTTTATTAGGACAATTTATTTGTCCTAACTTTCCCAATAAGGACTACATGTCTTTGGATTCCTAGTTTTTCCATAGGAGGACTAAATTTTTAAAATAAAACTGTTCTTCTTCCCTCCCTTCCTCCTTCCCCTAATCCCTACCAAACACTAAACCTCCTTGTGTACACAAGAACCTGCAGTCACCAGTGGAAATGTTTTTGAGACATGAGCAACCATGCTGGGGGACATTTTCAAATCTTATCTCAAAACTAGGTTCCCTGCCAAAATGAGCATGGTRAGCACACTGATTCTGAATGGTAACGGCAAAGAATACCCAGCGCACCCAAAGAAAATACATATTAATACCACCCGCCTGGTTTTCTTTTCTCCAATAGGAGGTCAGTACAGCGACTGTCCCAGAGAAGCAATGGATTCTAGTTTTAGGGGGAAACCTTTCTCTGTGGGTGCACTGCAGTTCCCATGGCTATTGTGACTACTGCAGCCTTAGAAACAGAAGGGTCCTCTGTGGTGTAATTCGGAAGCCATGCTCTCTGGCTGCAGAGTCGAAGAACCTTCATCCACATGTGGAATCCATAAACAAAAAGTTCCCACATCTAAAGATGAATAGCACTTGTGCACAACCTTTTGGTTATTATGCTAAGCGGGACGTGAGCACCTTCCAGAACTTTAAGGAAAACATTGTCTGAAGGTCAGCAAACAGAATGAGTGTCCAAAGAGGGGGTGTGTATAGTCTCAAACTGGACTCTTGTACAAGTTTGCTGCAAACACATTGATCACTCCTGTTGTCTCCTTGATTTTGCTACTGGGTTAATCAGCCTTTTTAAAGTGAAGAAAAGTACTTTGATGATCGAGGGAAACAGATTAGAGCCAGA